ATATATATATATATATATATATATATATACGTTCTTATAATTTTATATATTTATTTATTTATTTTTTTTAATGACCGAACATTTCATGTAATTTTTTTTGTCCTGAGTTTATCTGCCGGTACTTACATCCTCTCCAGGTTCACCATCGCTGCCTGGAAGGCCTCCTCGACCTTTGGTGCCCTTAAAGACAGAGATAAACAAACAAAAAGACATTAGCAAGGATAAAGATTCAATAAGCACTACAAAAGTGTAAAAAAAAACAAACAATCAAACTCTATCAAGCAAAGCTCACGGGTCAAGTTTCTCGTCCTGAACCATCTTTGTCAGGTCACCTGAAAGTGGTCTTCCTAAAATTTTTTGCCAACTTTTACTGGGGTTAAAGTTTAAGTCATTTCTCAAACAAACATGTTCAGTTTTCCAAATTGAAAATTTGCCCTTTTTTTCTTTGCTTCTCCAACAAACAATAAAACTATTAAAATAATAATAATTAAAAAAATACTGGTAAATAAAATAAAGGTTTTTTTATGCGTGTTTAATTTTTCTTGATTTTATGTGTACAGCACGTTGTTGCAGCTGTGGTTGCTTTAAAAGTCTTTATAAATAAAGTATTATTATTATTATTATTACTATTATTATTATTATTATTAAATCTAGAACCAGACCACTATAATAATTACAAAAGTTTTTCACTCTGCGCGTAAAGAAAAGGGCAGAGCAACTAAATATTTCAACTTATTGGCTGGATTAAAAATAAAAACATTTTAACTCGGATGGATTGCAAATAAAAACTTTTTAACTCACTGGCTGGATTAAAAATGAAAACGTTAACTCATTGACTAGATTAAGAATAAAAACATTTAATTTGTTGGCTGGATTAAAAATAAAAACATTTTAACACATTGTCTGGATTAAGAAAAACATTTTAACTCATTTGCTGGATTAAAAATAAAAGCAATTTAACTCGTTGGGTTGATTAAGAAAAACATTTTAACTCGTTGGCTGGATAAAGAATAAAAACATTTAACTTGTTGGCTGGATTAAAAATAAAAACAATTTAACTCGTTGGCTGGATTAAGAAAAACATTTTAACTCGTTGGCTGGATTAAAAATAACATTTTAACTCATTGGCTGGATTAAGAATAAAAACATTTTAATTTGTTGGCTGGATTACAAAAAAAACATTTTAACTTGTTGGCTGGATTACAAATAAAAACATTTTAACTCAATGGCTGGATTAAGAATAAAAACATTTTAACTTCAGTTTCAGTTTTTGGGAAACCACAAGAATATTCCCAAATATTCCTCAAACACAAAAATGGAATAAAATTCTGCAATTATGAGTAAGAAGTGAAACCACCAACATCTCATTTGTAAACAACTCTGTGCATGTAATTATATCACTTGAATATTGGTCATTTCTTGTGACTTTACATTTTATTCCCACAGAACTCAAAGCAACAAAGAATAAACGAGTGCATTTTCAGGAAATGTTTCTGATTCACTGCAGACAGTGGGATTACAACGCAGACATTGTTGTCGTATGTTCACTTTCAGTTTGACATCTTTCATTTTCTGATTCTATCCCGTTAAAGTAAAACTACATAAAAACTATTTGAGCCATTTTTGACATTTAAATTAAATAAGTTTGGGGCAGCCCTGTTTTGTCATTTAAGTCTGATGGGGGAAAAAAATCAAGTCTAAAAGTTTAAAAATCAATAAGATAGAAATGTTTGTTTGTGTCTTCATTGGGGAATTATGCTCTGACTAACACATGATTTGTGTTTACTATCAGATGCTATCACAAAAATAAAAACAACACAAGTTCCCACTTTCTGAATGTCACATTGATGACACAAGATTTCACTGTGGACTAAATTAGATTAAACAATATATCACCTTAAGATTTTTGAACATCATAACTTGTTGACAAAACATGCTTGTGTTCTGAAAACTGATCAAGTTGTAACCTAAAGGTTGTCAGTTTTGTGAAATGTCAGCATAATTTTAAAGAGTCAATCTCCAACTTTTCCAGCAATTTACAGACAAATGTGTTGTTAAATATTTACATTTTTTTTAAATAACTACACACAACCCTCATTCACAAAAACTTAAAATAGCCATTTTATATTGACATTATTGTTGAACCACAGTTATATTGCTTGTTCTAAAGTTAATCAACAGATTAAACACCAGCTCTATTAGTGCTGAATGTGGCCACAGTGGTTGTTCTTACACATTTGGATGGGAGGGTGACAGTGAGATGTTACAATCTGCAATTTTCCTGTAACATGTCATAGAAATAAAATATCAAAAAAGACAGAACACATTAACTTGTATGTGTACCCTGAAGACCAGCGATAAGTGAAAAACGCGAAGTAGGAATAGTAGTACAAGTAGTATGGTAAGTAGTAGTTTATTTTAGAATATACAGTATATGTATATATATATATATATATAT